GGCTAGTTTTTTGTATTTTTTAGTAGAGACGGGGTTTCACCGTGTTACCCAGGATGGTCTCGATCTCCTGACCTCGTGATCCACCCGTGTCGGCCTCCCAAAGTGCTGGGATTACAGGCTTGAGCCACCGCGCCCGGCCCTTTTTTCTTTTTTTGAGATAGCTTCCCTCTTTCGCCCAGGTTGGAGTGCAGTGGCGCGATCTCGGCTCACTGCAACCTCCACCTCCCAGGTTTAAGCGATTCTCCTGCCTCAACCTCCCGAGTAGCCGGGATTACAGACACCCACTAGCACGCCTGGCTAACTTTTGTATTTTTAGTAGGACGGGGTTTCGTTGGCCACGCTTCTCTCGAAGTCCTGACCTCAGGCGATCTGCCCACCTTGGCCTCCCGAAGTCCTGGGATTACAGGCGTGAGCCACCATGCCTGGTCTGTCTTCTTTCTTTTAGCATAATGTTTTTTTGCTGCATCCACATTGTAGCATGTATCACTACTTCATTCCTTTTAATGCCAAATAATATTCCATTGTATGGATAGACCACATTTTGTTTATCCATTCTTCAGCTGCTGGACATTTGGGTTGTTTCCAGGCAACAATTTCTTTAATTTTTTCTCCTTAATTTTTTAAAAAGTTCTTTTTCTAAAGGGAAAGAAAATTACGTTGCCTTAAATTTAAGTTGTGCTTCATAGTTGCCAAGAAGCATGTGATACATGAACTTGTGCCCTCACCCTTGTGCCGCACTGTCTTCCACAGGTCTCCAAAAAAGGCTATGCCAGAGATAAGAATGTGACCACTGTGCGAGGCTCTACTGAGTAGCATAAAAATATCAAAACATATAGCATGATAGTGGTTTTTTTTTTGTTTTCTTTTGTTTTTTGAGACGGAGTTTCACTCTTGTTGCCCAGGCTTGAGTGCAGTGGTGCGATCTCGGCTCACTGCAACCTCTGTCGCCCAGGTTCAAGTGATTCTTCTGCCTCAGCCTCCCAAGTAGCTGAGATTACAGGCATGCGCCACCACGCCCGGCTAATTTTGTGTATTTTTAGTGGAGACGGGGTTTCTCCATGTTGGTCAGACTGGTTTTGAACCCCCAACCTCAAGTGATCCGCCTGTCTCGGCCTCCCAAAGTGCTGAGGTTACAGGCATGAGCCACTGTGCCTGGCCGATAGTGTTTTATGGACCTTTTTTCCTCCTAGTCAACATATTTCTTTTGTAGAATTTTATGTATTTATTTATGTTTTTATAAGCTGGCACATTTCTTTCGGAGGAGTCCCCCATCCCCTATTGGCACGTTTCTTTTGTAGGCTTTTTTCTAAGTCAGCACATTTTTGCAAGAATGCTATGAACAAAATACATTTGCCTACATTGCCTGTGAAAACAATGAACAATTTTGATAGAAAGCATTTAAATGCTATTCATTTTTTCATTTAAATTTGACTTATAGGCCAGGAGTTACAACGATTGGATTAAATAGAAAAACAGGAAAGTAAAGAGTTCTCTAGTAAAAAACAATGCCTTGAAATAGGATCACAGCCTAAAGATATTGATAGCCACAGTGGATGGATGACTAGAGTCAACCCATTTTTTTTTTTTTCTTTTTGAGACAGAGTTTCGCTCTTGTCGCCCAGGCTGGAGTGCAGTGACACCATCTTGGCTCACTGCAACCTCCGCCTCCCAGGTTCGAGCGATTCTCCTGCCTCAGCCTCTCCAGTAGCTGAGAGTACAGGTGTGCGCTACTATGCCTGGCTAATTTTTTATGTTTTATTTGAGGTGGCCAGGCTAGTCTTGAATTCCTGTCTTCGGGTGATCCTTCTGCCTCAGCCTCCCAAGGTGCTGGGATTATGGGTGTGAGCTACCGCGCCCAGCCGAGCCTAATTTTTACATTCAAGAACAATTCCTCTTTTTTTGTTAATCACCTGTTAATTCCTGAAGGGTTATGAAAACTATGAATTCACTTTTTCTGAAGTGGAGATTATAGGTTTGAATTGATTTGGACAAAAGTACTGGTAATTATTTGCCCTGTTTATAAGCAGCGTGTTCCTAGAAATTCCCTTCCTGTGTTCTGTGTGTTGTCTTCCTCTGCAAAGTCCATTTCCTATAAAAGGGCTAATGATAGTGTGTGTAGAATTATCAAAGCTGATTCAAGGGTCCATAGAAATGAGACATTTTTGAGGAAGAGGGAGAGATTTGTTAAAGGATTCAAAATAATTATCCTGATTTGATCACTATACATTATATGTATTGAAACATGACTATGTGCCCCATAAATATGTACAATTATTATTTGTGAATTAAAAAAGAAAGAAGATGTTTTTCTAAACTGTATTATCTATAATCCTCTACCTGAGTATTAATTGCATATCCATGGTCTTTTCCAGACTTCATCAAGA